TGTCAAAACAAGTATAACTCACAAGAACATTGTAACTATGTTGACCACCAGCTTGTTTACCTTTGACTATAAAATAAAGGCTCAGCTTGCCTTCTGGATCTTTTCTCTGTGGCCTTAGCCAAGCATAGGAGATCCAACTATATCCAGCTTATTCTCTTTGTCTATCTTTTCCACATCCTTCGCTGCCCTCCCTCAGGCTCGCCGAACCCTTGGCTGTGCTGGCACAGCATATGGCTGTAGCTATTTGGGGGATTTTGGGTTCCATATATCTCTGAAGTATACAGTTGGTATTTTAATAGTAATCACATTGAACCTATAGATTGCTTTGGGTAGTATGGACAATTTAATTATGTTAATTCTACCAATACATGAACATAGTATATTCTTCTACTTGTTTATATCTTCTAACTGACCTTGCCTGGAGGGTAGAAAGTTGCTACTCCCTCCCCCTCCTGGAGCTGAAGGCCAAATCAACAGTCTGGGTTAGTCAAGGCTGAAGATATCAGAACAAACCAAGAAGGGAGATTAGGCCATCTGGCCGAGAAACTAATCAGCTTCAGCCCCGTGGACCTCCACCCCCCCCCCCCCCCCCCCTTGTTTGGAATGTGCTTGTTTGAAGAATGCTTAAAAAGGAGACCGCTTTGTAACGGCTGCTGCTTCTGGCTGCGCCATTGCCGCCGCGGCAGCCCAGATTCGAATCTGCAATAAAGTTTGTTATTTGACTCCGCAATTGGCTAATTGGAGTTATTTCCTGGGTAGGGGTCTCTGCCTCTTGGGTGGTTTCGTCTCCATTCAACATCTTCCTCTATCTCTTTTTTCAATGTCCTGTAGTTTTCCAAGTATAAGTCTTTTACTTCCTTGGCTAAATTTATTCCTAAGTATCTTAATTTTTTTGTTGTTGTTGCAATGGTAAATGGGATTGGCTTTTTCATTTCTTTTTTTGAGAATTCATTATTGGTGTATAAAAATGCCATCCATTTCTGGGTGTTAATTTTGAATCCTGATACATTGCCAAATTTATTTATTAAATCTAGTCATTTTTTGGTGGAGTCTTTAAGATTTTCTACATACAATGCCATATCATCTGAGAATAATGAGAGTTTTACTTCCTCCTTTCCAGTTTTGATGCTTTTATGTTTTCTTCTTGTCTGATCACTGTGGCTAAGACTTTCAGTGCTATCCTATATAATAAAAGGGTAATATACAAATTGACCCTAATGGTAGAATGACCAGAACGACCACTTGACTAATCATTATGAGGTTCACTGATTATGAGGTCCTTTCCCCGGCCTGCAGACTCTGATCACCCAATGGTGAACGAGGAACTGAGGTGGTGGTGGGTGGCGAGGCTGGCGAGTGGACGGGGATGGCCAACATCTCAGTCCCTTTGCCCGGCCATCAGACTCTGATCACCGGATGGCTTACAGGGAACTGGGGTGGGTGGTGGCAGGGGATGGAGCCAGCTGCACGCCACTGGGGAAGATGGCCCTGATCGCAGGCTAGGCCTAGGGACCATAACCATACACGAATTTCGTGTGCTAGGCCTCTATTGTGGAATAAGAGTGGTGAAAGTAGAAATCCTTGCCTTGTTCCTATTCCTAAGGGAAATGCTTTTAGCTTTTGCCAATTGAGTGTGATGTTGGCTGTATATTGTCATATCTGGACTCTTTATGTTGCTGAGAGATTTTAGAAAAAATGGGTGTTGGATTTTGTCAAATGCTTTTTCTATATTTATTGATATGATCATGTGATTTTTGTCTTTGAATTCGTTTATGTGATGTATCACATTAATTGACTTGCAAATATTATATCAGCCTTGCATCCCTAGAATAAATCCCACTTGGTCATGGTGTATGATTTTTTTTAATATATTGCTGGATCTAATTTGCTAATATTTGTTGAAGATTTTAGCATCTATGTATACCAGGGATATTGACCTGAAATTCCCTTTCTTTATAGTGTCTTTATCTGGTTTTGAAATTAGGATAATGCTGGCCTCATAGAAAGAACTTGTTAGTGTTCCTTCCTCTTAGATTTTTTTTTTTAATAGTTTGAGGAAGATAGGTGTTAGTTCTTCTTTGAATGTTTGCAAAACTCCCCTGTGAAGCCATACTGACTAGGGCTTTGTTTGCTAGGAGGCTTTTTTTTTTTTTTTTAATTGCTGCTTCGATTTCATCAGTTATTATTGGCCTATTCATGATTTCTGATTCTTCCTGATGATGTGTCTGTGTATGGGCCTGTTTGGGTTCTTTTTTCTTGGGGCTCTCTGTGCTCTCTGAACTTGTGTGACTTTTTTCTTCACCAGGTTAGGAAAGTGTTCTGCCACTATTTCTTCAAGCAGGTTTTCTATCTATTGCTCACTTTATTTACCCTCTGATATATAGTTAGGTTTCATGTTGTCCCACAGCTTCCTAAAGCTGTCCTCCTGTTTTTTAATTGTCTTCTCTTTTTGGTTCTCTGGTTAAGTGATTTTTTTCTACCTTGTCTTGTAATTCACTTATCCTATCCTCAGATTCTCCTAATCTGCTGTGTGTTCATTCCAATGTGTTCTTTATTAATACTATGTCATTCTTCATTTCTAACTGGTCATTTTTTTAATAGTTTCTGTATCTTTTTCTTTGCTGTTGAACATCCTTGTAATCATTATTCTGAACTCTATATCTATCATATTCTTAACTTCATTTCATTTAACTCTTCTTCTGAGAATTCTTTGCTATTTCATTTGGGACTTGTTGTTTTTGTCTCCCCATTTTGACTGCCTGTTTGGATTTCTGTCTGTGTATTAGGTAGATCTGCAACAACTCCCAGTCTCTGATGCAGGACAATTTCAGATGCTGTTTTTGACTGGCCTTGAGTACCATATAGAGCTATCAGCAATCTACAGCTTGTGGCTCTGTATGTCTTCTGGGTCTGGGTGCCTTTGGAAAGGACCAAGATGTGCAACAAGGTCTGCTTTTCCTTGTCCCTGACCCCAAATTAGATCAAGCAAAGACTCAAAACCTCTAGAGACCTGCCTTTGCTTCCTATCTGATTATTATTCAGTCTTGATTAGCCTCAAGCTATCTACTACAGCAAGGTTTAGACTCCACAGGGTGGGGTGAGAGGTTTTCCAAGCGGGTGGGGAAATTGCTTCCCCACAGGCAAACACTGCCTGGATGGTAAAGATCTACTGGAGAAAGAAGTCTTCTGTAGTATGAGGGAATGATTCAGCACAGGAATCCAGGGTGGCTGCTTTCTGAGCTTTAACCCCAGAGGTACCAAACCTACTTTACCTTCACACAGCTCAGTCCACTCTCCCAAATGTGAGTGGCTTCATATAAAATTTTGAGTGTTGGCCCTCTAAGACAATGTCTGAATTTCCAGCCATCTCTTCCTGGCAGACAACTAGATGTTATGTGGGAATCTCTCTTAGTTCTGGTGCTCTGGGCTGGGGAAACCAGCTTGGAGTTTAGATCCCAGAGTCCTTTGTGGGAACCTCCCCACACACACACACAGCTGAAATGTTTCTCTGGAACTTCACTTCTGTCTCTCTGTGGTCTCTGCTTTCTATACTTGGTTATCAGGGTTCTCTCCAGCTAGTCTTCCTTGATAATTCAGGATGGCTTTGCTGTATGTTAGTTTAATTCCAGTTTGGTCCTGGAAGAGTGTCAGTGTAGCCTCCACTTAATCTGCTGCCATTTTGGAACCTGTCTCAGTCCTACAATTTCAAGAAACTGAATTATCCTGTCAATCTGAGCTCGGAAGTAGACTCCTCCACCAGAACCTCAAGAAAGGAATGCAGCCCTGCTGACACCACAATTTCTTTCAGTTGAGACTCTAACTGACTTACAGAACCTTGAGATAACAAATAGGTGTTGTTTATTGTTTCAATTTGCTAAATTTGCAGTAATTTTTTAGACATAAAGCCAATTTTTTGGTACCCTGTTTTGAAATCCAAAGTAAAAAATTGGTTCTTTTTCTGGGCTTATTCCTACTGTGTCACAGAAGCAGTGTGTGTCTAACACAATGGGTGGAGGTCAGTGAAGCAGCAAACATTTCCAGAAATTAACATTTCATAACATTATCTCATTATTTTACCGTTATCATTTGGATTGAATGGAGCCTGGCCTGAGAGAGTGGGAGGGAGAACCAGTTGTTCAAATCTATGAGGTCACAGTTGAAATCACAGAAGAGTTGAAAAGGGCAAAGTTGATAGGGAGCAAATGAGATGGGGCTGTTGTGAGATGTGACTCAAAGAGAAGTTCTAGGGGGAAAGGGATGGGGTTCAGTGGGATGGGGCACCTAACTGGTTAAGTTTCTAGGCATAATTGCTTAATTTGTGACGGGTTTGAAGGTGGGGAAGGACTGGAGGAGGAAACTGGGAGGCAACTTCTCATATGTCACTGCTTTGACCTCTCAACCTCGTGGGTTTTTGACAGTCAACTATGGGGTTTCTCTCCTCTCCACAAAGCACTTGAAAGCTGGAGCTAACATCCATCAGCCTGTAGTACTACACTTAATTGACCATGAAGATTCTGTGCAGTGAGACAGGATGGGGCATTTGTCATTGTGACTTCATTATACTCTGTTTCCATTCCTTGCCAGACAGCCCTCCTCCACCTCAAGGAGCCTTCGGCTGACTCCCTAGCCCCAGTCTCAGCCAGCTATTATTTTTTACTTAAGATTCTCTCTTTTTTTTTTCACCCAGTACCTTCTCACTGGAATTTCTGTTCTTACTGAAAAATAGGACTAAGACTTCACCTGGGGCAAACACTTTCTTCTCTCACCCTATTTTTCTTTACATATATATACACACACACACACACACACACACACACACACACATATTCAAAACACAGATGCTTCCTGAACTACTGAGACATCAGTCCTGGTAATTCTCCTGTGGGTAAGTGCTTCTCTTTTTACTATTAACCTTCCCTCTCCCTATTCATTTATGCCTCCCCAGGGTCTGGAGGCACCTCTATCTTTAGCTCCAGAGTCTGGTTTCTGCTCAAGGACAAATGGCACAGTATCCTTTCCATGATTGAGAACAAAAAGCAGGAAGGACATTCAAGCAACAGATTAGGTAAATGGGCTATTATTACCTTCAAATGTCCTTAGATTTGGATATGCTTTATGGAAGAAAAAACTAGAGTCACCTGTTTCCCATCCTCTTCCAGCTACACCTAATTCCTGGATGAGTAAGGTGGGGTCTTTCATGTGTCCTCTATCCTCTCCACCTCCTCAATGGAAGGGACAATAGAGAATATTTATCATTCTAATTTAGAGGGTGGGCATCAATCTGAAATTCCTCTAAGAGTTAGTTGAATATACAACCCAGGAACATTTGTTTATCTGAGGGTCAACTTTCTAAGAAGTCCTTATGTCCTCTACAGTATAAATCAACGCCAGCAGTCCCAAACCATGCTTCCTTTGGACCAGTTGGAGAGGGGGACCAGAATCTGTTGCTTGAAACTGAATAGTAGACCCAGACAGTGTTATCCATAAACCAGAAAAATGGGCTTACTATGAGCTTATAGGACAGGAAAGTTTCTGAAAGGAATTGGGACTTTGCTTGAGGTTTTGGAGTATGCAGTATGTTCTAAGAGTTTATAGGAATTCAGGAATAAAGAGTTAGGAAAATCAGAGGAGCTGAAAAAAAGCCTAAGGTATGGAGACATGCTGCGCGCCCGCACGCATGTGCGCGCGCGCGGAGAGGTAGCAGCCGGAGAGGAGGAGAGGGCTGGGTGCTGCCTGGCGTTCCCTAGCAGGAAGGAAATAAAACCCCCAGCCTGGGCTGAACCCCCGAACCGGCAGCGCTGAGCCCCAGTTATGGGCCAGACACTGGGGACCCAGGCTCGGGCCGGGGGAGATGGGGCTGTGAGGCAGAATCCCAGGGGAGCGACAAAAAGCAGGGCCCCCGGAGTCGCGTGCACATTGCGCGCAGAGGACGGAATGTTGACTCTGATGCTGGATTACCCTGGAGGGAAGGAAACAGCAGCCCCGGCCGTGTTGGGCCCCAGTTTCAACTGCTCTGAACCCCAGTCCGAGGCCAGACCCTGGGGACCCAGGCTCAGGCAGGGGGAGACGGGGCTGTGAGGCGGAATCCCAGGGGTGCGGCGAAAAGCGGAGACCCCAGAGTCACACACACTGTGCACAGAGGACAGTCTGTTGACTCTGATCCTAGACTCCCCTAGCGGGAAGGAGGAAAAAAGCTCCAGATTGGAGGAACGCGACGAGGAGCAGGAGCCCCTGCCGGACACTGGCCAGCCGGGCACCAGCAAGGAGCCGGGCGACGGGGCCCCCAGGAGGGGGGGTGCCCCTGAGCCTTCGACTGCTGAGCACGGGCAATGGAGCCAAGGCCGGGGGCTGCTTCCTGGGCGGCGCCGACCCCGGCAACAGGCTGAAGCAGCGCAGGAGCCCGCGGAGAACAAAGGGGTGCCACAGGCCAACCTGCTGAGCTCCCAGGACAAGGAGGAAGAAACCAAAGAAGTTCTCAATGTGAATTAATCAAGTGAGAGCAAAAGATAGTAAAATTACTTAAGAAAGAATACAAAGAAGATCTTGAAAAATCAAAGACTAAGTCAGAACTCAATGTTGCCAACATTGCAACATAAATGCTTTAAAAAAAAAAAAAAAAAAAAAAAAAAGGACAGAATGTTGGAACAGCGGCGGCCAAGCCTAGAGTGGCCAGGCACAAGGCAGTGGCAGCCAGGCCTGGAGCAGCAACGGCCAGGCCCCAGAGCAGCAGCAGCCAGAACCAGAGCATCAACAGCCAGCACTGGAGCAGCCAGACTCGGGGCAGTGGCAGCCAGGCCTGAGGCAGAGGCGGCCAAGCCCAGGGTCACCAGTCCAGGAACACCCAGACCCGGAGTGGCCGGGCCCGGAGAAGCCGGGCCCAGAGCAGCCAGGTTGGGAGCAGCCAGGCCCAGATCAGCAGTAGCCAAGCCCGGAGCATCCAGGCTGGGAGCGGCCAGACTTGGAGCGGCCGGGCCCGGGGCAGCCAGGCCCAGAGCAACCGGGTCGGGTGTGGCCAGGCCCGGAGCAGCAGCTGCCAGGCTGGGAGCGGCCAGGCCCGGAGCAGCGGCTGCCAGGCTGGGAGCAGCCAGGCCCGGAGTAGTGGCTGCCAGGCTGGGAGCGGCCAAGCCCGGAGCAGCCGGGTCTGGTGCGGTCAGGCCCAGAACAGCAGCTGCCAGGCTGGGAGCGGCCAAGCCCGGGAGCAGCGGCTGCCAGGCTGGGAGCAGCCTGGCCCGGAGCAGCCGGGTCGGGTACGGCCAGGCCCGGAGCAGCAGCTGTCAGGCTGGGAGCGGCCAGGCCCGGAGCAGCCGGGTCGTGTGCGGCCAGGCCCGGAGCAGCAGCTGCCAGGCTGGGAGCGGCCAGGCCCGGAGAAGCAGCAGCCAAGTCCAGAGCAACTAGGTCGCGAGCGGCAGTGACCAGACCCAGAGCAGCTGGTTGTGGAACGAACCAGAGCAACAGAGGCCAGGCCCGGAGCAGCCAGGCCCTGAACAGCTCGCTCCTCGCCTGCCCCTGCTCCACAGCTGCCTCTCAGACATGGCTGGAAACTTTTGTGGGAACTTGAGGGTCTGCTGAATCAAGTGATGAAGGCTTAGATCTGGATGTGTTGAGTTAGTATAGCGCTGGGGTGTTGATCTGTGAGTGCCTTGGGTGGTGCCTGGATGAGGCTGGTTGACCTATTTGGAAATGTCTTTTGTGTGAAATGTATCATTGAGCATGTGGTGGTATTATTGATATGAGAAAATGCTAAGTAACTGATTTACTATCTGAAAAGGGATTTACTATCGGGGAAAAGGAGGGAGGAAGAGACTGAACATAAACTGTGCACCTATGGATGAGGACAATGGGGGAGCGGGAGGGGGCGGAGGGTGGGGTGGGAACCTGGTGGAGGGGGGAAGAAATGAGGAACCTTTGTAATAATATGAACAATAAAGATTGATTTTTTAAAAAAAGTATATTTCTTCCTTAAGTTTTGCTAATACAGGGTGGAGCAAAAGTGGGTTTACAGTTGTTTGTATAGAAAAATAATACAATGATTAATAAATAATAATGCAAGAATAGACTGTTTCATACACCTAAACTGTAAACCTACTTTTGCCTCATCCTGTGTTCCAATATTGGGTGTATATATTTTTAGAATTTAAACCATCAGTTTGTTCTCTGTAGCTATGAATTTGTTTCTGTTTTGTTTATTTTGTTTTTTAGATTCCACTTATAGGTGAAATAATATGGTTTTTGTCTTTGCCTAATTTATTTCACTTAGCATAATACTCTTAAGGTCCATCCATATTGTCAAAAATGGTAAGAGTTCATTCTTTTTCATGGCCAAATAATATTTCATTGTATATATGCACCACATCTCTTCATCCATTTATCTTTTGATTGGAGCATTTAATCCATTTGCATTTAAAGTAATACATTAAGTATATATAATAGTTATTACCATTTTATTGTTTTCTGATTATTTTTATAGTTTTTCTCTGTCCCTTTCTTATTCTCTTGTAGTGTTGACTTTCTATAGTGTTGTGTTTAGATTCCTTTCTCTTTATTTTTTTGTGTACTCCATGGAGTTCATGGGCGGGCCTCTTGGTGGAATCTGCAAACCAGCTAATAGAATCTGCAGCTCGTTTCTAAGATCCATGTAGTGGTTGCTATGAGTGCCTACACCCTTTTCTCTGCTGCCAGCTCCCCTCTATGATTATTCAGCTGTGCTGATCACCTCTGTGATCTGAATAGGGTGAGGCAAAAGTGGGTCTCTTGGGCAATGTCTTAATAGGCTGGGAAGCAGGGTGTTCTTTTCACTCTCACTTTCCCTCAGGGGAGAACCACTGGCTGAGAGGTTCTCTCTTGGCACTGAGCCATGCTGCCTCTGAGGAGGGATGACATGGGTAAAGTGAAACTGTTCATTCTTACCCTCTCCAATGCATCTATTCATGGACAATTTTGCTTAAACGAGGTGATTGGATTTCTTCACTGGACTCCTGATTTCCTACACAGGTATTCCCATCCACAAATAGTTGTCAAAATTAATGTTTCCATGGGGAATATGAAGATTGTAACCTCCTTTTCTGCCATCTTGCTGATGTCACTCACTCAGTGCCTCATCAGAATTATATCGTCCTTTCTTTCCAGAAAATCCACAGAAGGAACAATGGAGCCAAAGGTTGGTAAGACTTCCAAATACACTGGTTCCTTTGGGGCTGATTCCTAGGGAAAATGGAGGAGAAGAAGCTGTGACTAGAAGGCAGGAAAGCTGCCTAATAAGGACTATGTATTGAAGGACTTGGGCACTGTAATTTGAAGTGCTTTTGACTAGCTGGTGGGTCACTGGCTACAAAGACTAGTAATATCTTCAATGCCCCTACACTAGAATCCATGAGAAGACAGGCTATGTGGATATTGATAAGGTAGGTAAATATATGAATCTTTTTCTATCTGTCATCCACCAGATAGATCAAGAGATGACAAGAGATGTGGGCTGAAATTGACCCAGTTGGGCTTGAAGGAGTCTTGGGGCTACCTGACAAATGAGGTTTCTATCTCAATTCGAAAAATGCCTTGTATTCTATCAGTTTCACATGTCTCAGTTCAGATTCTGGGAGAATTAAAGTAATATTACCAAGATTTGTCTCTTATTTTAATAGGAAATATAGGTAACGCTCACCGAAACCCTGTGGAACCAGGTGAGTACAGCTGTCACCAGCTTGAAAGCATGGTGAGAAATGGGAGGAGGGAGAAAGGGCTTAAGAAAGGAGCAAGTTTCTTTCTCTCCCCTTGAGTAATTCACTGACTGATGGTGAAGAATTACCATACTTTGTCCCATCTTGTTCTATTACTCATCCAGTCTCAGAGATTCCTAGTGTCTACAACTCAGCACCCCTTCTTGACATCTACCAGTCCATTAGATATTTCCCTGTCAAGCATGTTTTCTCTGCCAGCCTTTTAAAAAACACTGTATAATAAAAAATAAATAAATCTGACCCACTAGCCAAGTACCTTAGGGCACGTACCAAGAAAGCATCTATTGTACTTTAACTCTTAGATGAGAAGGCAAAGTTACAATTTTGTTATGAAAAGTAAAGACCTTAATTCCATTTCTTATTGGAAAGAAAGTTATTTTACCTCTGGTGCCATTAAAATTGTCTGAAAAATACTTGGCTGTGATTCTTGATTCCTGCATCCTAAGACATAATTTTCTGAAAGATTTCATCCCTCCAGAATGAGTTAGCTTCAAAATAAAGCTCTCAAAAAAGAAATGAATCAACCTAAAGAGTAGACGTATTTAATTTCATCCATTTGGATACCAAATAAGTTGATAAAAATTATCAATTTTTGTTTAATTGCTAGTGAATTGTTGTTTCTAACAGTAATATGCCAAACAGTCCCTTTGCTTCTGAAAGTCTTGCCTGGGACCTGATTAGGATCCTGTCATTAGCACAGAGGAGAATTGTTTTCTTTCACTGGCTATAGCTGACAGTCTCTATCAAGACATTAAAAGACATAAAAATTGGATTAAGTTATTCAGATATAATTCCAGCATAATTTTAATAGTTGGAACACCATTCTGCTTTGCATTATTTATAATGGGAAATTGTTTTGTTAACAAGGCATTTCTATCTATCTGAATTTCTTCAGGGTATTTTAATGAAGATTCTGAATGGGCATAAATGCCATATTTCCTCTGTGGCATCACAGGTTGCCAACAACGTTTTTTAAGTGCTTCAAGATATCCTACATCTTCCCAAATTTATTGACAACAGTTTAAATGAGAATAACAGCTAACAGTATAAAGTATGGCTTGGGTTTCCTGTTCTTTAATTTATTAGGTTTGAGAGACTCAGAACTGCTATTTGTTGGAGAGTCCTAAGTGTTGAGAAGAAAATAAAAGAATAATAATAATCTGTACTTTGGATATAAAGAATTGTCCTTCCTGTGGTTAAGAAAAATATAAAATTTTAATTTCAAGGAAATTAGATTAAATCATTTAAATTGGTTTAAAGAAACCTAGTTCCAAAAAAAAGTCTTCCTTTGCAGAAGACAGTTAAATTAGATGTTTGATAATGAATAAAATTGTTGAATCCTATCAAGAGAGTATTCTGAGATCTGAAAAACTGAGTTGAAAATGAAAAATAGATTCATTAGGTCACCAATGGGAATTTGTTACCTTCAGACATCTAACTAAAGCAATACTATGAGAAGTAAACTTCATAATCTATATGATTAAACCGTGCTTTTTGAAATTGTTTTAAAATACACAAATTTAATGAATTTGAAATTAGCTTCTTTTAATTCTATAAAAACTGATCTTTTACATTTTGACAAAATGTCCTTGGTTTTCCAGGTACCTGAAAATGACAAAGTAGCCAACTCTCAAACATGAAAATGCCTGATTTCACTTATTTTAATGGTATATCAATGCAGAAGCTAGTTATGCCCATAAAATAACCAAAGCAAAGTGTTGCGAATTTTCACAACACAGACATTTACTTAGTTTCTGAAGCCTTTCCCAAAACATTAGCTACTTCAACTTCTCAATCTTAGCATTTTCATTGCATGTACATTTAAACTCTTGGGTAAGAGTAAACAAGAAATACATTATAACTGATCACTTCTGAACCCACAATATCAATTTCCCACATGGAGTCAAGCAAGGAAAGTCCGTTTATTAAATCAATTACTACAATTTTTTATTAAAGATGAGGGAAAGTCTCCACAGCCACTCCTGCAAGCCCTCATTGAACAATACTATATGAAATGAGTAATGTACTTCTTAATTTTCTGTGATTTTCAATGACTCTTCCTATAAGTTTTATAGCAGAAAATAGTCTTCTTAATTAAAATGCTATATTAGAATAACTATTTAATGGTCTTATAATTATTTTATTAGCTAAAGAGTGAATTGCTTATGTAAGGGTCAGAAAACCATTCTTTTGGGAATCAGCACATAATTGGACACTTATGACATAATAAAGGGTGGATATGATATAACAGAGTGAACGAAAGGTGGCGGAGAGGCAATAAACTGATAACTGATACTGTCTACCCCACTGACTATTCTTCCATATGCACCCTTATACACATTAAAACTCCTGAATATCAACAAAAATAACTCTATTTCCACCAAAGAAGATACAGCTATCTGTCTTAAAGTCCTCATCTTTTCCTCAATGAGGCAACTGAGGTTTCCAAATGTCACTGTTTTCATATTTTGTTTTACAAGAGACTGCCAGAGCTTCTCCCAGAGTGATCATACAATTCTACACTCCTCCCAATCGTGTATCAGAGCTCTAGCTACTCTATATCCTTGCCAACATTTGGTGTCTTCTTGTATATTATACTCGAAATACAAATATGTCTTTAATAGCTATGTTTAGCTTCAGAACAAGAACCAATTAAACAGAAGTGAAATATAATAGTGGGTTTCATTTACATTCCCTTTACAACTCAGCCCTCTTTAAACAACTTTCTGTATTTCACCCATTTCTCACATGAAGAAATGGTGGCCCAGAAACACATGTAGAGTGAAAGTCAATGGGATTTACTGCTAGGAAGCCATAGTCTCTGGGCATTCACACTCTATAACCTAATGACTGGGAAATTCTATTATCTAGAGTCCCTTTGTAAGAAAGTCTATAATATTAATTTTTCCATTATATTTTGTCTTCTTTCAGGTAATGGTGGCTTTTAGGGATATACAAAAGGAGGTAAGATTAAATATCAATTCTCTAACTTCACTTTCCTTTGCTCCCGTTTTTTTCCATTACCTACTGTGATGTTGACTCTGATCAGGTTTTCATGTCTTCGTCCAGTCCAGGAAGTTGAGGCAAGAAGATGCCTAAGCATTCCCTTGTGGAAACATGATCACATAGAGAGAAAACTGTTTCTACCAGAAATCCTCTCAGCAAGAATACCCTATGTGGTTATAGGAAATGCTGATAAGTGACTGAGTTGGGAGGAGTCCCCAGGTGGCATGGTAAATTGCCTTATTAAGAGAGTACATCTGTTACCTGCAGGGAAGTGCAAATTAAAAGCCAGAGCTAAATTTCTTTGCTAAACAGAAACAACCCTCCTCCTTCTGCTGCTCCTCCATACAGATTTCAGTCTTTCTTCTATATAAATCCTGATAAAATATTTTAAAATATAGTCAAACATGCACTAGATTACTGGCCTGCCCAAGCACTGAGTTATAATATTAGCTTGCTCACGGTATTGCTATATCTTGGTCCTATCAAGTCTTGCCTTTTTCTTTTTCTGTTTGGTACAGTGGAGAGCAACAGGCACTTTCTATACAATGGGCTTGTATTTTATACAAAACTTAGAGCAAGTACTAGTATCATAAAATGGGAAACATCTGCACAGATTTCTTCACTTGTGTTCCTCTGAATAAAAATATAGCTTCATTTAAATTAAAATATAATATAAGCCTCTTGTGGTCTTAAAAACAGTAGTCCCCTCTTCCTGATTGGGGAAAATGATAGATAAAGAGATTGAGAAGCCACTGAAAATAAACTCCACTATTTCACTATCTCAATCACTCTTGGCCTTACACCTGCATCCCTTTCTAAAGTTCAAGAAGCCATGTCATTGTATCCTGTTACTGTGTCTGGGACTTACTCTAGGAAAAATTATAGCAGCCTTCTCTCCATATGGCTGCAGGTAAGAGTGCAGTAGGTAGCGATCAGAAGCTTCATATTTCACCCAAGTTTTACCTTGGGGTTAGGCCACCTCCAATCTACCCAGCACTTTAGTCCCCTGAGTCATGAGTCTCCTCCAGGAAGGACTTGAACTAGTGGAACTTGGGTGTGTTTGATTCCTATCCTCAGGGCTTATGTAGCAATGAAAAGTCCCATCTGGCATCCTCAGTGCTGAAGCGATCTTCTGGTGCTGTTTCATAGAGTCCATCAGATACAACCTCTACCCTCATAGGTCCTCCAGGCAGGTGCAGACAAAATAGACACCCCAACCCAGACTTATAAGGGCAATTTTGTACTTAAATACTAAAAGAATGGAAAGCAAAAGATAGCAGGGAGAGGCAAGTACTTTCTTTCTGATGATGTAAACATTAAGACCCAGCTCCAGAGCACTGCTATATAGAAAGACCATCCAGCTGGCTCCTGAGAGCTAGGGGTCCCAAAGTGTCTCATAAACAGCAATGTATTGGGATGAGTAAGAAGGATTTTTTAAAAGGTCCTTCACAGATACTTAAAGCTTCGCCTCAGAGAACCACTGGAGACCCAACGGGGAGGGTAAAAGGGCCAGAGTGTCTCCTGCCCCTGAAGAGGCCAGGGCTCATCCCATTTCTTTATCCATCATTCAACAAACTTTCTGACCATATGCTGTATACAGGGCATTATGTCAAGTGGTTTGGTGCGAGAGAAGCAAAACAACACAAATTCTGCTTTCTGGAAACAAGAATTTAATTCCCTTCCCAGGAAGCCCATATCTCCCACACAGACACCTCTGTGTCTAACCAAGTCTATAGCCAGAGGAAAATGGCCCCTGAGTCTCTGACTGACCTCCTCTGAATTCTCATTATTTTTCAGCTACAAGATGCTCGGACTCGAGGTATTAATAAAAAGGCAGAATTTCAAGGTTTGGATTAACCAGGAGTGGTGGGAAGATATAAGGAGGAGTTCATCCCAAAGTATCATCATTAGACCTTCCACTAGGCTGAGAGCTAGAGTCCAGGTCCACTTTTCCTTTCCCCCTTTAACTAAGCTTGACATTGGCTTTCCTTGATCTTTCATGATCACTGCCAGTCTCTCTTATGTCCAGGCCAACTAGACAGGCACAGCAAGAACCCTTTCTCCCTTGGGATGGCTGTTGAGGACCTGGGGACACTCTCAGCCTTCAGTCAGACACGGGCTTTTTCAGTAGAGGCAAGGGAGCAAACACAGAGGTGAGCAGCTTCCCAGCTCTGCTATAAGGACTGAGCAGAGCTGGCATAGGGACTGAATAGTGGGAAGGTCACAATGGAATGATTATTCAAGATGGCCAAGTTATAGTTCTCAAATGCCCAAATGCAAATTCTAGTGTTTCAGGGATATACTCAAAATACCCAGGAGCCTACAAGGTCATAGTTGTATCACCTTCCTTCACCCACCGAAGAAGGTACTTATAAATCAGGGCTTTTCAAACTTTTGTATGTATACAAATCCAGTTAGGGTGGATTTCTAAAGGGGCAGGAGTTGGCCTTCCATCACTCTGAACAAATAAACTACAGAGCCAGGGCTTCCTCCTCCAGCCTCATCCCCAACAAAAATCCCTGGAATTGTAGAATCAGTCCTGGATTTCACCATAATAAATACTGGGAGATCCTCTTCATTCAAGTCAGAGAATAATGGAATAAAAAATGATGGATGAGAAAAGAAAAGCCATGAAAATGGAGTTAAACATCAGGGACTTAGAAGAAGAAAATCAATAAAATGAGAGTCCAGTGCCCCAACATTGGGAGATGTTTATTTATTTACCATAAGAAAAAAGACTAAAAGAAGATCAGGCTACAACACTAAAGATTTAATTTAGACATTAGAAATGACTTTCCCATTAGTGACTACTGAGAAGCAGAGGTCTGGGTAGTCCAGAAAGATAGAAACACCACGTTCTGCAGAGGACTTTGGGAACAGTTTTTTTAAATCCCTTTGATGTGTTTCAGGAATGGTCCCACCTGAACCAGGAAATGGAGAAGGTGAATTCCCTAGACCCCTGTTGGAACCAAATTTGATCCTATCTTAGAGAGTTGGCCCTACTAAAATAAAATCCATCCCTCATAAAGAGATAAACCTTTATACTATATTTAAATTGATCAGTGTTGAAATCATCAAAAGAATGATGACAGAAAAATGTCATATTTACATAAATTTTTAATTTAATTACTGTAAACCTTTGCATTTGAGGAACACTTTTGATTGCTTAAACTATATTAGATTTATGCTTTTACTTAATTTTAATATTCCTCTGAGGCAAGCATTAGAAATATTCCTGACTTTCCTCATGAAAACACAGGAAATTACTTTTCCTCTGAAAAGCAATGACACTATGTCTCCCAACACTCAGCAAGAGCTCTTTCCTTCGGGCCACATGATTATCAGGGAATTGCAGCTCCCAGAGCCAGTAATGCAATTCCAGGTAGAGAGTGATAACAAGATTCCTAAGGACAGGGGAGGCAAGGCAGGGGAGCCCCAGTGGTGGGGTCTCTCTCCTTCATACACTCACAACCTCCTCTTCTTTGGTACAGAAGCATCAGGCCTCCAGGTTCCTGGACATCCCAAAATTTGAGAATGTTACCGCCCAGCACTGAAGAACAGCCATAGAAGTCCAGGCCCACAACCTGAAAAGCCAGCACTCTGATTAACCAGCTTGCTACCCTGGACCCTAATCATACAATAAAGGAAGAAGACCTCCTTGGCTTCTGCCAGGTGTTTCACCCCGATGACCTGTCCCCTGAGCTCCAGTCTGCCCCACCTACTGTAGTCAGGAACCCAGGCTCCTTGGATCATCACTCCAACTTGGTAGAACAGCACCACCAAGCAGGTAGGATCCAATACAAGGAGTGAAAAGATGGAAGAATGAGGGCAGGGCCACGCCAGGATCTTTAGGGCTCTGGGATCAAGGCAGAGAGCCAAGCGAGAGTGTCAGCTGTGGATAGTTCTGTATAGGGAGGAGCATTCAGGAATCAGAGAGAGACAATTATGGGATAGAAAGATGAAAAGGTAGAAATTTTAAAAACACACTAAGAGCTGTGTGGCCATTATTCCCTTCTGGAAAGTGTTCTGGAAACTTACATTACCCGTGGGGCTTAATTCAGAATCAAGAGTCAAACACAATAGGTTCATAATAAACTCCATTGTCAGAATTTTCATTAATACAGTACTTGAATGTGCTGCTCTCAGAGTAAGTGATGCGCTATTTCTTCCATCTTTTTATTAGGTCTAGTAATAATTAATGTCGTTTTCTAATACTTTTTTAAATCGAATTTATTTAAACAATACAACAAAATTTAATCAACAATATAGTTGCCGTTGTTTTCTACTACTTGTGCCCAATGCAAGGAAGCATTTTAATCCCCCTGTTGAAAAATTCTTGTGATTTTGATGCAAAAAATTCGGTCAATGCATTTTTGAGGCATTCTTCATTATTAAATTTTTTTCCAAAAAGAAAGTTTTGCAAAGAGAAACAAATGGTAATCGGAAGGGGCAATATCAGGAGAATATGCAGGTTGAGGGAGAACTTCCCATTCCAACTGGCGCAGTTTTTCAGCAGTGATTCTTGCAGTATGCGGTCGTGCGTTATCGTGGTGAAGAATTACGCCCTTCCGATTAATCAGCGCGGGTTCTTTTTCTATTAAAGCTTGGGCTAACCTTTCCAATTGGGCACTATACACTGCACTTGTAATGGTTTGGTTAGATGGTAAAAGTTCATAATGAAGAATTCCTTTAAAATTCCACCAAACACACAACATCACTTTTTTCGCATGCAAGTCAGGTTTTGGCGTGGGCTGCGGAGTCTCATTTTTGTCCAACCATTGAGGCCGCCTTTTCAAATTAACATACAGTACCCATTTTTCATCTCCAGTAACAATTTGCTCTAAAAACGGCAAACGGTTTTGACGAGAGAGGAGCGAACTGCAAATTGTGACTCTTTGATTACAGTTGTTGTCGGTCAACTCATGAGGAACCCATTTTCCAAACTTTTGGACTTTGCCAAGTGCACGCAATTGATTGGAAATTGTTTTTTGTGAACAATTTAAAGTTGTCGCAAGCTCTTGGGTAATTTGAGGATTATGCACCAAAAGAGCTTGAAGAGCTTCTTGATCAAAATTGGACACACGGCCTCGACCATTCTTGTCATCTAATGAAAAATTTCCCTCTCGAAATTTCTCAAACCAACGCTGGCATTTTCTGGCGCTAACTGCATCTTGACCAAGAGCACTTGACCAAGATGTTTTTTGCAGCCTCACTTGCTTTTCTTCCTAATTGAAACTCGTAAAGCATGCAGTGCCGAATATGCTCTTCATCCGCCATCTTCTTAGCCCTAGTTTTGCAACAAAAACCAAACCAAACACAAACTTTTTCAAGCAAAACTTGTTAATTGCACTTCACACGTTCTGTAGATACCACGTGTTTGAAGGTTATGTCAATACAAGTCAACGCCAAGCAAGATTTTAAACGAATGTTTAAAAACGACATTAATTGTTACTAGACCCGATATATAAAGGTTGGTTAAATACTGAATGGCTAAGTTTCCAAGCAAAGTATCTGCAGTGTTATGGTCTGTGAAAAGAGAACAAGTAATCAGCAAAACCTTTAAAATAGTCAAGGTGGTACTCCAGTTATATTTAATCAATTCCCTGACTGTTGATGTTGCAGATAAATTCTGGAGAGAAAAATAACCTTTGGTGACTTACATGCATAATTGGATGAAAATGTAATATCCAGAAAATACACACCACTTACATATACTTTCTACTTCTGTATATATCTAAATTTGTTCATAATAAAAAGTTTTTAACCACAATAAAAATTTTGTTTTAAAGTTTTTAATGTATTTGGATTTTATTTGAATTGCAATAAATTATGCCACATTTTTATTTTCTCCTTTTATCATTAAAGTATATTTAATATTTTTTTTTAGGTTTAAAGTATCTTCATTAACTTTTTTTCATGTTTGTCTTTTATCATTATCTTATTTTTATAATGACAGATATAAATTTAAAACATAAGAAAATGGGAAGGGAAAAGGGAGAAAAGAAGAGAGGAAGGAAGGGAGACAGGTAAAGAAGGTGGGGCCAAAACTGGTTTGGCTCAGTAGTAGAGCATTGGTCTGTAGACTGAAAGGTCCCAGGTTCGATTCCGATCAAGGGCATGCACATTAGTTGTGGGCACATCCCCAATAGGGGGTGTGCAAGAGGCAGCTGGTCAATGTTTCTCTCTCATTGACATTTCTGTCTCTCTATCTCTCTCCCTTCCTCCTCTCTGTAAAATATCAATAAAATATATTTTAAAAATAAAAAAATAATAATTTTTAAAAAAAGAAGGTGGGGAGGGAAATTCAACCTTTAGAACTAAAAGGCCTTAGAATACTATATTCTTATCTTTAGAAATTACTGGCCATCCCAGGGCCCCAGTTATATGATGCAACCCACTGAAACGAGAGTGATACAGGAGAGGAATGGCCCTGGAGAACTCATTCAGACTCAGATCAGACCTCCTGCTAAAAGCCTCTCCAGGGACCTCCCAGACTCCCTAGATCAAGTCCCTCCGGCCATTGTTATTTGGGCAGCAGTCTAAAAGGCTTCCCTTTGGCTTTCACCCTGCTCAGAAGTTCCTCTCCGCATCTTCTAAGGAAGGACAAGGTCAGGAAAGCTGCAGCGCTCTGACCACTTCTCTGGCTTTGGTTCCGGTGTTGGAACAGATACCATTCAGGTACCCTCCGCTGAGAGCAGCTCTGGTTGGTCTGTGAAGACAAATCTCCATCTCACTGAATGCATCTTCTTCCAAAACTACCCACTCTGGGAACCTGTGAGTGCACAATTCATGACCAGAAATCAGATGCTCGCTTATCATCTTCCTGTTATCTCTCAGGAAGGGAGGGGTGACCAGTTTACCTCCCTCTGATTTAGACTAAATCCCATAACTGTACGTTTTTCCAGGTGTCCTGGGAGTTCTTTTTATGTTTTGTCTCTCCTTTTTTATTTTGGCTTTACCAGCCCTGTGATGTGGAGGAAAGGGTCCAAGTTTGGCTTGGCTCTATCCAAATCTCCTGATACCAACTCAGAGAATAACCCAATCTTTGTGGACCCTCATGTTAAATCCTGAGATTACAGTGCAAACAGTGGACGTTGTAATTTCACAGAAACTCTGACAGGAAGCCTTGGAGTAAGTGATGTGCACAGCCCTCGTTTCCACTCTGAGGATTCCTTCATGCCGGGCTTCCATGAAACCAGCAAGCACCCCCGTGTGCCACTTCTGCTTGGGTTGACACGGAAGGGGAGAAGGCATTTCTACTTTTATGTTTCTTTTTTTTAAAATATATTTTATTGATTTTGTACAGAGAGGAAGGGAGAGAGATAGAGAGAAACATTGATGAGAGAGAGAGTCATCAATCCGCTGCCTCTTGCACACCCCCTCCTGGGGATGTGCCCGCAACCAAGGTACATGCCCTTGACCTGAATCGAACCCGGGACCTTTCAGTCCCCAAGCCAACGCTCTATTCATTGAGCCAAACCGGTTTCGGCTCATTGATGTTTCTAACTCTCTATCTCTCTCCCTTCCTCTTCGTACAAAATCAATAAAATATATATATTTTTTAAAAATCATTACTTAGTACCAGAAATACACAAGAAGACCATTCCTCAGTGGTTAGGATTTCTAAGCTGAAATGGACTTTAGAAACCACATGGTTCTCCCAGATTGTTTTTTATTTTTTATTTTTATTTAGTGAGGCTATTTTGTTGTTTTTTAATTCACAAATTGTGGCAGGAAAGGTCTTGTACCATCATCAGGTATCCAAATGCCGCAGCAATCATTCAAACATTCATCATGGTCTGTCAGCCGGATGCCAGCCAAATGTTTATTACTGACTCACTGTGCCAGCCAAGCCCTCCTGTGGTTCGAACGCGGTTCCTTTAGGAGTGGGAGAATAGCACTTCCCAGTTCTTGGGCATCTGTTCCCAACTCCCTTCCTTTCCTTTTCCAGTCTGGATAATCGCTGCTCTCTTCTCTTTCCTTCCCAGGTCTGATTCTCTACACGCCTCCTCCCCACCTCTCCACCTTAGGCTGGGAAGGGCTGATGAGATCTCACTCGGCAGGGTTGCCTTTGCTGCACGGTCTGTTCTGTGTTAGCCAAGAGGCTTTACTCACAATGCCTCACCACCAGGCATGTTCCGGGACTGGTAAGCAGATTCAGCATTCGTTTCCGTTCTTGTCCCTCTAAAGGAAAACTTGACTGCTCCATGGAAATTGGCAACATAACCACAGTCACCGAGTTTGTTCTCCTAGGACTGTCCCACAACCCCCAGATCCAGGAAGTGCTCTTTGTGCTGTTCCTGGTGGTTTACCTCCTGACCCTCACAGAGAACCTGCTGCTGCTGCTGGTGATCAGAGCTGATTCCCACCTCCACACCCCCATGTACTTCTTCCTGGGTCACCTCTCCTTCCTGGACGCTTTCTATTCCTCAGTCATCGTGCCTAAACTGCTGGAGAACCTTCTTTCCAAGTGGAAGACTATATCCCTTCTTGGGTGTTTCACCCAGATTTTCTTGGTCATATTTTCTGGAGCCGCTGAAGCTTGCCTCCTTTCAGTCATGGCCTACGACCGGTTCCAGGCTGTGTGCCACCCGCTGCTGTACATGGT